CGTCGGATGTGAAGGAGTAAGATTTATTGGATTATAACAATGCTAACTACAGTTACCTGTCTAAAAGGAGGGCTTAAAAATTGAAGGAGAGTTCTTATTAATATTACTACATTATGAAATTTTATAAATTGTGTGGTGTTCATTGAGAAGGGCGGTCAAAACTTCAGCTATAGAACTAAATATCTTTTTCTTTAATACCAGTATCTTTTCCTTTAATACCAGAGTAAAAGAACACTGTTTCGCAATTTATTTACTAAATAAACACTGTTATTTAAAATAAATCGTATTATTATATTTTACAATCCAAACCCAATAATTAGCAGTAAGAATTCATTTACTCATCGCTCTCTCACTGAACGATAAGTTTGAAAAGTGCAGTTGAATGAAGTGATGAAGAAAAGGATATAATCAGAGGCAAATAGATGATTCGAGGTGTATTACAGAATTAAGTGCTTTCGGAAGCATACTTAGAAGATTTTTTTTTCAAATTTATATTTATTTATTTTATTTTTCAATTTTTATACTTTAATTAGAAGTTTCATAAAATAATAGTAAAATATTGAATTTCTTTTACAAAACTTTTATCATAAACTTTTATTTTTTTTGTTAAACATTTATCAAACGTCTCAAATAGTTTTTATAAATTACCTTTATAGATTATCCCTCAGAAATATTTTAAGTCTGTATATACTTTGAGCTAATGTTTGCTTTTAACCTACTGTCCACTTCAGTTTCTTTGAATTAGTGAAGCATCTTACTTAGCAGGACTTTATCGGCAACAAGTTATCATTTCTAAATTAACAGACTTTAAATTAAAATTTTGTTATGATTTGCATTAAATTCCGTCTTTAATATCATGGATAAAATCAATTTAGTCAGTTCAAGTAACATTTTATTTGATGTATATCATATGGGCCGTTTGAGTTGAGGGTTTGGTGATTTCCGCATGTGTAATGTTGAAATGAGCTAGTTTTCCTTAGAAAATTCTCCTCGAAGACATCATTCCTCTTAGGCAAATAACTCTGTAACCGCTATTGAAATAATATAAAAGTAGATTTATTAAATGCTTAATTTACTTTGGCAACTTTATTTTCTTAACCGGAACCAAGTTTTTTTTCTTTACTTAATCAATAAAAGTATGCTATTTCCTACCTTAATATTAGAACCTTAGAAATTCATTTTAATATTAAAATTAAATTCATGCTTTATTTTTAGTAACGATACCTTTCTATAACAATTTGTAGAATGTCCAATTAATTTATGTAAACTACATATCATCTATATAAGGTTGAAATAAAAACAAGTATGAGTTTTAGTTTGATTTGTATAATTTGGTTATGGTGAAGCAAGCCTAAGGAGAGGGATGCTTTATATAGGACATTGTAAGAGAAATTGCCTCGTATCCACGTTGTACACGAAGTAAACCACGAAAGCGCCCTAACAGCCAGCCATTTCGCCGAGATTCGAACCTAGGTCGAACTATCACTGCTCAGAGACTTTATCGCTTGGCCAGTGGTGGGCAAATTAAAAAAAACAAGACGATTAGCTAAGCTTAACAATTTTATTAAAAAACGCATTTGTTTGAAAAAGTAATGGGATGTTTTACTATGCAGCGCTAATTAATACTGTGCTATTTAGTTAACAGTATCTGTAGTAGAATTAACTGTATGGAATTCAGATATTTTCAAACAGAATGAAGACGCCAGAAAAATTCAGAAGTGATGCTTACACTAGAGCGTGTGCTAAAGAATTATCAAAAGAATTTTAAATCAAATTCTAAAAATGTGCATTTAACTATTAAACATAGCACTTAAATTTTTACCTAAAATTATAGCAATTATAATACGTGTATAAGACCTAATTTTAAATATTTAGATATGCAAGTTTGCTTATAAATATGTGTACGTGATAATAGTTGCATTGAAGACTTTAAATGGATTTGTATTTAGTTAAAGCATTAAAATATTTTTTTCAATTTAAGTGATCGTATACTTTTAATGTTTAATTTATTTATGTTTTAAGTGTTTTATTTATTTTTATGTTTATTTAAAATTTTTTACGTGTAATATATATATATATATGTACTGTATAAATTACACATAAATCATATTATCATACACATATTATTGGATATCACTCTGTAAACAAAAAAATCAAATTATTGTAATGAGCAGAATTTCATTTCTGCACCTGCATACTTATGTACATCAAAATTGAATCTATTGTTAATATACTCCCGATACAGCGCACTTATGGACCTCACGGGAGGCGTTAGTATCTCCCTTGCCAGACATCAGGTATCCCTGTCTTCCATCCATTACTAGATTTTCCAAAAGCCACAAATTCATATTTACTCTAAAAGTAGTGAAATAGCTTTCAAATGAAAAGAAACCCCTGATCACTTTGTAAAAAGAGGGCTCACCAGCGGCCGAGCGGTAAAGCCGCTAAACACTAGTAGTTCGGTCCGAGGTTCGAATCCCGCGAACGGGCTGGCTGCATGGGCGTTTTCGTGCTTTTCCCCATGTGTAACGTGTATACGAGCCAGTTTCCCTTAGGAAGTCCTCCACGAAGGCATCCCTCCTCTTAGGCAGATAGCCCTAGTGTGCTTTGCCATAATTAAAATAAATAAGTAAGAATAAATTGTAAAAAGAGAATGAAATCAATTAGTTCCTTCTTTTGTAAAATGAGTAGTTTTAGTTTACCATATATTTTATTTGCATAAGAGCCACACCACTCGCCTGTGAGCCGCGCTGTGGCTGCCTCTGGTGTAAAATAAAATAATTTGTATTTTAGAATATAAAAAGAGAAGTAAAACAAATAGCATAAATGAGCTAATGAAGACTGACAAGTTAACGGATATAAAATGTTTTTTAAAAATTGTGTGCCTTATATACCCCTGCCATTAAGAAATATTCGTACAAGAAAAATATTTATACACATACGCATATAAAATTAGGTCAGAATTATACACACACACATCTTCTATAGACCTATTCATAATGTCTAGACAAAATCTAGCAATGTTAATCATCGATCCTGTATACTCAGACGAGTCACCGTAATTTAGCCGTCAACTTGTCAAGAACGTTGAATGTTGAACGAAGTCCATTAATGAAATACTGCCATTGCAAAATCTGTGACTGCGTGCAATAGATCAATTACTGAAATGTCTAGCTTATTTGCTTGTGCACAGATAGATCTAGCAGAAGAAATTCATTATCTGGAATTATAATATACTTCAGCAGTAGTTTGGAAAAGTAAAATATAGTTCTTATCAAAGGCTAGACATGCAAAGTTTTCATATGTTGGGGCAGAGGGAAATTAAGGTGCATGTCCTTAGTAGAAAGTTTTAAATTATTGAACATAGACATTAGAAAGAAAAAATATTTGCAATAAGTTATTGCTGTATTTAAGGTATAATAGATTGTGTTGCGAAGTTTGTTTTCCCCTAACCTTTTTTATTACATCTTGTGAAAACGCAGACGTTGTTTGCCCGTTTTGGAATACTTTTGATTAAATGGGTAACTGAAATTAATGAAGCATTAAAGTTTATTGATAATAGCTTTTACTCTGGAGAGTAAATGATTGCTTGAAACATAGCTAATTTTAAATTAAGTTGTTAATAAGCTCACAAAAATTTATGTAAATGCATTTTAGAAGGGACACTACGATTTTGCCTTTTCCGAAGAAACGTAGTTTTAATTTTTTCATAGGAAAACAATGTTAGATCATTGGAATTAATATATGTGACTGAACAATAAATACGATCATTCAAAATAAATGAAAACAATGACAGTCACTGTATCCTACGGAAGATTGTAAATCAAATATTTATCCAAAAAAGGGTGCGAACTTCAAAAAATATTTCAACAATTGAATATGTTGCCCTGAACAAGATTTGACTCAGTGGGCCATATCAGCAGCTTTTAAAGAATCCGTCTGCAATATTAATAAATTAGAAAAAAAATGGTTTCAATTTTAAAGAATCAAAAGAGAACAATATTCATAGCCATCTTTTGAGTATATATACTCTTTTTAGTATATATATGTATGTAAGATATAATAAAATACCATGGCTGCGCTAAGAAATAATTGGCAACCTCAAAATTGACTATTCTAGATTTTCTATTCTAAATTCAATATAATATTTCACTTCACTCTAGATTATTTGCTTTAATTAATGTGAGGATAGGTATGGGAAACCGGAAAATAAGAATAATCTCTACGCAGAAATCCCTTTGTATGTACAACTGTCGCTTCTTTAGCGGTTTTAAATGAAGCATATTTAACATAATGTTTAAAACTGCATCTAATTAAAGTAAACATAAATCTTAGAAATATTTTTATTGAAGAAAATATTCATATCTCATAATCAAGATCCTTTGATAAAATGTATAAAATATTTAGTATATTTCACTGTGATAATCTACCTGTCTTGCTTAGGGTAAAAACCTCAAGATTTATTATAAATATATCTTATTTTATTTTCAAGCATCATAAAACTGTTCTAAAAGTTTGACAGCAAATGAAAATCCCTAATATTAATATTCAAATTCTAGCCTTACTTTTCGTTGATTTTCCAGTGTTATAGCTAGAATTTCGTTGCCGTTGATGAATTCCCGCCATTACCAGATCCCAAAGTATGTTTAACTCTAGGCTAAGATAAGATAAGATAGGTGTGTATGAAAAGTCTGTCTGAAATCAGCCTCAGCTTATACAGATTTAGGAACACAAGAAACTGGAATATTCTGCTTACTTGGAAAATTCTGCTGTTAATATAAAAAAAAAAACTGATGAAGCAAAACCCTGAACGTTAAATGCTATTTTATGTTCGCATGATATAAAACAAAAGTTATGATGATCAAAATTCTGTACGTTTTTGAATGGTATTTAAAGTTTTCGATAAATCCTGAAACAGGTTGCCTCTTTGTTAAACATCATGTTATATTTACAAAACTTTGTTCAATAACAGATGTTAGTTACTATGTTTTTTTTAATAGGAAACCGTAGCTATGAGCTGTTCGTGGTGTAAGGAAGTATGCCACAATAAAGAATCCTGTTTCAATTCAAAAAAGATGAGCAGCGAAAATTGTAACTTAGGAGTCCATGCCAACTTGATCGTTCCGCCCACATGGATTGTCAAGCTACCTTGCAAAGTGAGAAGTATTTTTGTACAATTCTTTGCTTTAACTTAAACATTTAGTCAAGTGGTCTCAGCTTATTCAAATAGTAAATTTGGAGTACGTTTCAATATTAAAAGTAATTGCAACATGCTTGTTATCTAAAGTTTACAGCCTTTTAGTAATTTAACAGTCCTTGTTCTTAAACAACTTCACACCAACTAAGATATATATTTTTTAAAGCATAGAACAGGAAACACAATTTTTTTAAAGCGCAGAACAGGAAACGTAAAGATATTCTTAAAGCTTATACTGAAAATAGTAGTTTCTCAAAATTAAGAAAAGTTAAAAGCAAATTCCACATATAACATTTTTTTATAAAAATCAGTTACATTTAGAATAATTTTCAACCTTGTTTACTATTAAGGAATACAAACGCTATTTCTCCTTCCATTTGAAGAGATAAAGATTGGATATTTTACAATCAATCATCATCGAGCATCAGCATCGAGTTTTTCATCATTCAAAAACTGTTAATTAAGAACTGTTAATAACTTTTTTGACGCAGTTAAAGTAAGCATTGGTAGATTGTTTTAAATTATACGACAAAAGAGAAGAGTTGCATTAAACACTAGTTGCTTCAAAATATTCTATTTTATGATACAGGCTTTAACTTTGAACAATATTCATCTGTCTCCATAACACTTTGTCATGACTTATGTAAGTATAAAAAATATATACTTTTACCTAATGCATTAAATCAGTATATTATTAGTAAGCAAGAATTAAAAACTATACATTTAATATTAAAATTTCTTCTTTTTATAAATCGATACATCTAACACCCATATTCAACTATAGACTGACAAACAGTTGAAACAAATCTGTAATTTTAACTCTCTATTCAATTTTTCTACTAAAGCTAAACAAATCATTAATAACTATGCATTTAAAAACGCACATTTTCAATAGAATGAAGTAAAGCTTAACACATCACAGTTTAGGTGAACAAAAATGCAGTGGTGTATGAAAAGTTGTTATCTAGGCAAATGATAAAGCAAAAAGAAATCTCTCATCATTGATACGTATAATTTACGAGTATTTATTGAGAAAGATATATTTGAGGAAAATTCAATTGTAACTTTAATAACGGAACATATTTAGTTGAAGCAAATCCAAGCCACCCGTATCTTTTCCTAGAAACAAGCTTTCGTAGAATCAGTTTAAAGGACTGATTCTTACGACTTTATTCGCAGATCTATGTAGTTTCTAGAGAGATGTCATGTATACTTTAATCACCAGATGAAAGATAGAATTTCGTTTATTTTGATTACGGCAAAGGAATAGAGGACTATCTACCAAAGGGAATCGATCCCTTCGCGGAGGGCTTTCTATGAAAAACTGGCTTGCATGCACTTACACATGGTGGAAACAACGGAAACGCCCATGCAGCAAACGCATTCTCTGGGATTTGAACCCCGGACTAAACTACTAGTGTTCAGCGACTTTGCAGCTCGGCCGTGGTGGGCTTAAATGAAAGCTACACGATTGTAAGAATCTTTTATACCAATGAAAATGATAACGAATATTTACTTGGCGTCTGAGTTCAGGCTTTTAACTGAAGAATGATAGCTTAGCTACTGAAGAAGTCTAGAAAATGTTGCCTCTTTCTCTGACTTTGGTAAATTCTTTATTCTTTGGCCGATCGTGTGCTCGGTCACTCGGACAATTCTTTCGTGAGACTGAATACCTCGAAAATTCCATCTGTTTTACAAATTTTTAACTTCGTCGTGTCATTTTATGTATGTTCAAAAATAAATTTTCATAATTACACGAAATTATCAGTAGTGAAAAGCTAAGGATGGTCAAAATTCGCAGAATAAAAATGATAAATTGACGTATATCTGTTTTAAGTGGAGAAATGGTTTCTGTTTTACACCATTTTATTCCTACGAAGGATCAAAATTCGTACCTTTTTCGATTCACTAAAATACTAAAAGGAATTTTACATTTAAGAACAAGACAAAGTAAATATACTCCTCAGTATTTATTTTGAACAGTAAATGAAGAAAATCAGAGCATGCAATCTTAGTCATTTTATTATTTACTAGGAACCCGAAGACAGAAAAGTGTATCTCTGTAAGTAGTTGTTGTGGTATTTAAAGCTTTTTACGTCAACTAGAGCAGAATATAAATATTGTATTTCAATAATACTGAGACAAGCAAATGGAGGAATTGCAGATATCTTAATCTAAGAGACACAAATAATTATCTTCTCCTTTTTACAAACCAACATCTTGCATCTCCCATTGTCTAACTCCCGATAATTCAGCTTAGCATCATTATCTTATAAGTGTGCTTGTTATCTTCTTAATTTTGGAAGGTGAATTACGTAGAATTTATAATAAAATTCAGATTTCAGAAATAAAAGTTATCACTAATATCGATTTATTTGAGCTAGGTTTTTATCATATTCTTGCTCTTAATATTATTTCTCTTCTACACTTTATTAACTATGATGCAATAGATCTTTTTTCCGAACCCCGAACGAAAGGAATTTCTTTCATATGTTTTAATGGTAACTGCATCTTTGCGGCATTTCAGAATGTGAAAGGTTCATGGCAAAGACGTACTTTTCTGCAATAAGTAAGAGCCGCACAATTTAATCGAACCTGGCTGCTGTATGTAACATAACCAAACTGACTGTATCAATTGCTGTAAAATTTGTTGTAACCAACACCCAATCAACCGGTAATATCAAAATGACGGCACTCTTGAAGGTTTAAATCTAAATCTGAAATGTAAGCCTGTCACCTGTATATAACTGACTATATCAACCGTATGTATTAATTATATGTATGTATTAATTATACTTTTAAGTTCTACGCAATAAATACTTCAAAACGTTAAAACCCCGATATTCATTTAGAAACACCCTGTATTAGGCTGCAGTGCGATTCATTCAGAATGTTTCTGGCAAACGGCAATTACTTAAAAAGCAGTTCTTTTCTGAGATCCCTTTATTTAATTGGCTTCTTGATTTTCTTTTCTTTTTTAATGATTTTCCGAGGAGCGATTTTTTCTTTGAAACATAAAGGAAAGAATAGATTTAATCTAGCACAGCGAAAACTTCACTTATTTACTATTGTTACAGCTTAATGTGTTCCTTTAGCTAATAACTTTCACCTCTTCAAATTTACCAGTTTTTTAATCAAACATGATTTCTCAAAACATGCCATTTTGTGAACAGTTTATGCAAATTAAACTATTCCTGATGAGCATAAGAATGTTATTATATAAGCTTTTCCCGTCTTTAAATGGAGTTATTAATATTTTGGAATACTATTTAATACAGTTATCAACTAATTTTTCTCCTTAGGAGACAGAAAATTCCAAGCAAATTTTTGCCATCAAACCTATTCCGTCATCAACATCGATACCCCTTCTTGTATTTATTAATCCGAAGAGTGGTGGAAACCAAGGAGCGAAGCTTCTTCGTAGTTTTCAATGGCTTCTCAATCCTCGTCAGGTATTTGATCTTACACAGGGTGGACCTGGCGTCGGGTAAGTAAAGAAGGCTTCAAAATTTTGAAAGATTTCTGTAACATAACTATATGCGATATTTAATTCTGCCCGAATTCTGAAAGATAATATGCGTGCAAATTTTTGCACGCATATTATCTTTCACCGTTAACTGAAAGAGAATGCTTGATTCTTTTCCAAATATTTGATGATATCGATGATTATCGATCTTCATTTGGAAATAATAAGACTAACCTGGTATTCTGTATCTATTCCAGCATCTATTATAGTCTTCTAAAATGTTGAACAAAATAATCCTCTAAGGTATTATTCTAATATAAATTTTATAGAATAGATGCATAGCATTCTATATTATAAATATTATTACAGACATGGACCTAATCAAATAACGCGAAAACTATATCCTTATGTAGAAGAACGACTTCGAGGACGATTTCTGCGAATGTGGAATTCACGATACATAAAATAAAAGCTATCGGGACAACATTAAACGAAATAGAACTGATACGATGATAAACGTAAATGCTAAAAGAAACAGAAATTGTTAAAGATTTAAATACAAAACTTGAAATATACAAGTATGTTGATATAGTCCCCTTGTCTCTTGAAAATTTGACGCCAGAATTGATTTTATAGATTCAATATCATTCTTTTTCAGCTCCCAATTTAGGTATGCTATTAATTGCATATTTTCCCTTTAAATAAACTGTAAAATTTAATGTTATAATTTTAACATTTTCTGGAAGCTTAAGCATAACGTTAAAAATTCTCTTTCGATAGTTTGGAACTTTATCGTCGAGTTCCAAATTTGAGGATTTTGGCTTGTGGTGGAGATGGCACAGTTGGATGGATTCTGTCAGTACTAGATGATCTTAAGGTTACATCATCACCTCCCATAGCTGTTCTACCCTTAGGTACAGGAAATGACCTAGCCAGAGCGCTAGGTTGGGGTGGAGTAAGTATTTTCTTTACACTCTAGTATGCATGCTTTGAGTTATCTAAAAAAGCTGAAGTTTCAGGTTAATTAAATATTACTTTTTTATTTAACCTTTTATTTTACTGCTCCTAGATTTGTTTGTTTATATTACTTTTGTTATTTTATTTTAATCGGAAATACTCGTAAATGCCGATTTTAATTTAATCCCTCTATCTATCTATACTTTATGCTATATTTTGAAAAGTACAATATGTGTATTTTACTGATTGAGTTCGTACGATTTATTTGTAAGGCTGTTCTTTAGTCTGTATATATCTTTAAGCTGTTAAATATGCCTTTGCAGTGGAACCGGGGGCCAAATGTTATGACAAAGTTAAAGTTTACAGTTATATTATCATTAAATTCCTTTTTAGGGATGTGGAATAAAAATGGTGCAATAGGAATGTTGCCACAGAGTTACTTTCGCATGATTTTTTCCGAAACAGAAATTTGGAAAAAATGTCTAACAGAAATTTGGTTTTAATATAAAAGGGTTTCCACTAGGTTTAAATACTAGTTATTAAGCGACATCTAAACAATTATTCTATACATAAATCACTGCCTCTTTCTTGCAGTCTGCTTAAAATAAACAGTATATTACTGGAAATGGATTTGGAAAGTACATGTAATTCTGCGTAGTTTATGCGACTAATTGGTAAATAGGGGTTAGAAATTTTATTTATTTAAATTTCAAACAGCAATTTAAAATGGCATGTCAGCATTGAATTTCCCATCACTTGAGGTTGTAGAGACATTAGATATTTTTTTTGGAAGCAGACAAGATGAAAAATTAGCAACGCCTTCGCCGGGAATCGAACCACGCACCTCTGGAATACCGGCTGAGCGTACAGAACCACTACACCACGAAGGCATCTTAGGAAGGCGGGAGAAATACCTTATAAGGTATATATCCCAGCTTGAACTTTAAGTACATTAAAGTTTTGTGGCTTTTCTAAAGTTCTAGTTTATTATGAGTACATGTGAAAATTTAGTTATGTAATATGTTGGTTCTGTTCGAGCATTCCAGTTTAACAATAGAGAAATAAAGCAAAAACGTTCAGAAACCTAACTTCGGAAAATCTGAATGCAAATATGATTTTGTTTAACGTTATAAATCATTTTTGGGTTGTAAAGAAATAAATAGACCAACATAAAATAATTTTAAAATCATTAGATAATTGCCATATGCTGAGTCAGAACTTTTACGTAAACTGAATTTCCAATCTATTTGTTTTACTTCCCGCCTTCAAAAAGAGCATAGATTAGATCATTGCCCTGAGCATAGATTTAGAGGCTCGATGTTCCACCCTAAGGCCGACCGAACACATGTCGAACGTTTTAGTGAAACCCTTACTAGTATTTCTAAAAAATGCTCCTAATTTTTTTTAAAGTCATTTTTCAAGTATTTATATAGTTTGACTTGAAATTTTTATATGATATTTCTGCTTTTTAAAATCTTATTGTCATAATGCTAGGTACTTTAAAATTTATATAGGTGAAGAATTATACCTAATGATTTTTCATAACAAAATATTAAAACTTATTAATGTAAATAAATTTGCATTGCTGTAAGTCTGCACTATGTGCTTTGATACAAATTCTTAATTTTCAGATAATACATTGGGTGTTTTCCCTGTAAAACATCTTTCTGTATATTATTAGCAAAATAAATCAAAGAACATAATCATCTGTGCATAGAGATGTAACACTAAAAATTTCATATATCTGTTACCATAACAATAACTCATTAAAACTCGAAAATTCTGGCAAAATTTTTCCTTTTCGCGTTACGTAAACGTGATGACTCCCCTGAAGCCAGAAGAAAGCGATGGGCGAAGACATATAAGAAAGACGGAAATTAGTATTAAAAGTAGAAAAGACATTTGTATGGTGTGATAAATTTCGTCTCCATCCATGAGTTCAACACGACAGACAGACGGAAATCAACTACAGAGAGAGTTTTTTAAAATTTGGTTTTATATTCTAGGCGTTCGATTAAAATAGAAAACTTCTATAAATTTTTAGGATAAAAGAAAGGCGCACTCAAATTTCATTTTACGTTTGTATATTGACATTGATACTTTGCGAAAATTTCCGAAAGCAAGCTGAAACTTTGAAAACTCTTCCGTTAAAAGAGATATTTGAATAAAAGAATTTAATGTTCAACTTCAGAAACTTCATTTTTACTTCTTTGTACGAAGCAAAAAGGAAGTATTGTAATCGCGAAAAGTTTCAGGCACCATATTTCAACGAAAATATCCATTTTGACCGCTATCGAATGCAATTTAACAATGTTTTTGCGTGACATCTGCACGTAAGGACAAAATAAAAGACTTGTTTCCTCAAAAAAAAAAAAAAAAAAAAAATTACAAAACTGCTTTAAAATGAATTCTGAAGAGAATTTTTCGTGGCGTCTGTACGTACGTACGTACCTCGCATAACTTAAAAACGAGTAGCCTCAGAACGTTGAAATTTTGTATCTAGGACTGCTATAACATGTTAGATGTGCACCTAGTATTTTGGTTGCAGTCGGCCGCACCAAACGTATATACATACATTTAATATATATATCCACTTTGATACCCGGCTCAGTGATCTCAGTTTCTTTATTCTTATATATTTGTAAATTGTGCATTTTTTGCTTTAAAAATGATTAAATTATGTTGTTCTTGTCTCCCGGTTAAGGGTTTTATGCTTTTAGTTAACCTACATGCAATAACTGTGGAATTATCAAAAATTTAAAAGTTTTTTAAGTGCGGCTAAGCCTACTTTCTGGTTACTATGGCGTCCATGTTTGTTAACTTACCAGAATAGTGGATTTGTTGCCAATCTAAAGAATCTAAGCTTCCCAGCAACAAAGTAACGTCTTCTTTTTATTATTGCGGATTAAATTATGCTTAATTCATTATGGAATTGATATTTAAGTTATTAGATTATTTTTACATAGAAACTGTAAAATTAATAGTAAAAATTGTTTTTTTAATTGTTTTAACTGTATTTGATATTTTATGTTTTTCTATAGCTTTCAAATTGTAATGAAAATATTTTGAATTTTATGTATTTTTGCCTTGCCGCGAAGTGAGAACTGAATTAATCAGTAGTGCATGCGCATTAGGTAAGCGGCGCTGAATCGTCTGCGAAAAAGTTTTTTTTTTTTTTTTTTTTTTTTTAAATTTCTTTTATATATCGTTTTAGATTTATTATAGTATTTGAATAGAACTTATGGTAATTCTTCAGATGATATCATTTTTGTGCACTCTGAGTTTTAAAATGAATGTTGAGCAATCTTTCTCTGCAACTTGGGATACTCCTATAATGGACCTCGAGCTAATAATTACATTAGTGCATCTCTAAGTGAGAAGATCAATAATTAAAATGTAATTGAAAATGAGGAATTTCGGACTTCGGAGAAGTGTCGAAATCATGAAGTTGCGGTCAATACTGTACAACACATTTACGGTGCAGGAGAAACAATGAGAAATCAAATTTAAAAAAATAAAAATGAGACCTTTTAGATTTTATATTACTCCCGAAGGTCGTTTTTTTAACATTTTGTGTGTTACCTTTAATATCATATGTGTTTCTTAAATATCATATTCTTCGCAATAAAACCATAAAATTCAACTCAACAGCAATATCACAAAATATTTGAAAGTGTATATATTAAGAATTTCCAATACACAGTCTCGCACACTGGAAATAAAAATGTTTTGTTTTTCTGTACAATGTTGCCATTGCTCGCACTGAAATCGTTGAGTTTCTTAACAGCGATAGATAATAAAACAAATTCCAGATTCCAAATTTGGACTTCCAGATGCCCATATTCGGATGTAGATGCACGTTATTCAAAATTTGATGGCTCTGGGTACCGCTATGATCACAATGCGAGAAACATATATACATTTATGCAGAATCTTCATTATTTAATTTCTTTAAATATAATACAGGAATCTAATATTGCGTCAACAATTTAAAAAGTGAGTTGCCGTTTATAGTGAATCAACGCAAAATGCCAAAACGAGATAAATAGCCTTTCTAGGGAAATTACCCCTTTGGGATAATAATACAATATTTACAATGCAGTAAAAATTTCAGAAAAGACGAACATAATCCATAAATATACTAAATCCGTAGTAGAAGTTCCTACAGGAGAACTGTCCGAAACGATAAGTCTCAAATCGCAGACCAAGTGTGCATCACTGGTCTGCGAGCATGGTGAATATTTTAAAATTTCATACCATAAGAATGGGTGGCATGAAAAATGCAGGATAAAATACATAAGTCATGACACTGATCTATCAAGGTTGAATTGAATAACCTAAAAGAAATAAAATTGTTACAGCTGAGCTCCGAAATGATGACCGGCAGATCCACCGCATAGTGAATTGCCATAAGGATTTGCATGTCAGAACCGCTGCGGAACTACATCACGTTGGTATAAGGATATCACCTTTACGTTGAAAATGTTGTGTAATATAGACAATAAGTCTAGTAAGTTACGATTTCCTGTGAGGAAGGCGTCGTTTGGCAGTAGCAGAAATGAAGAGAGAAATTAAGAGTTGTTATTCCTCATATTAAACGCAATAATCTTATTCGAAAACTTCATAATTCAGTTCTTGAGAAAAATCAGCGAAGTAGATAACATTTGATTTTAGAAATTATCGTTGAGTCTATTGATGTAGTTCCTTACAAATAATCTCTATGGATATTCTTGTTTCTGATATAATACGGTGCTCCAGTAATGATTTGTAGGAATTTGTTCTGAATAAATTGTAACTTATCATTCTCTCTGGCATTCGCCCAAACAAACAAGGCATATGTGAATATGCGGCAGATGACTGCAGTGAAAATTCGTTTTTTTTTTTCGAGTCATGCTATGTCCAGAGGAGTCAGACAATAGAAAATAAAGTTTTCTAGTAATACCGTGGGCTTTCCCTTGAGTAACATCGATGTGCGTTGACCAGGTGAACGATCTTTGA